AAATTCTAATGCAACAGTTATGTAAGTCTTGAAGATTTTGAAAAGATATCGCACAAATTTTGCGAGTTAGAACATCATTTATTTTTGTATAGGAAAACATATGATACCAACATAACTATTTAGAACATTCATGGGAGTCAGGAACACTATCTCATTGAAGTATGCTTTCAAAATAACCTTGCTTCAATTAGGACTTTTGAAGGTTGTAATGTGGTCTGGTTCATGGTTTTAGAAAAAAGGATTTAAGGCTCAAAGTATTCGGTGCCCACCCCCTTCATGATGTTCTCCAATCCTATGTTCAGTTAATCCAACATGAGCGTTCATCTCTCAAAAGGATTTTGTGACGATTAAGGAAACGACGAGGCTTTCGGAGTAGAAACCACCCTCATGTCTTCGTGTTTGTAGTCACCAATTTGTTCTTTGTTGAGGACTTTTCTTTGCAGTCCTTTTCTTTGCAATTTTTATTTTCCCTAACTTTTGCCTGAACTAACTCTTTTGAATTGATAGTCCAGCGGGATGCCTTAATTTTGCCTAAGTCACACATTTTCATGTTTTTTGACTTAGCAGGCTTTTTCTTTTTCTTGATTTTTGACTTTTTGAACAAAATGTGTGACATTAGCTTGTCTTTGCTTGTTGAGAGGATTGTGATTGCCTCGTTTCTTGATGAATGAGGGATAACATTGTGGTTCCACATCCTCTAGCTTCATTATACATGAAAGATAGCCCTCGTAGTTTCTCTTCAAAAAACGTCTTCCTTATGAATTTCGAACACTCAGTCAGATTAACTAAAAACTACCCTGCCCCAGGTTAAAATTTAAGGTTTTTTCGTATAGAAAAGAAACTTCTACTTCAAGGCTCAAAAGGGGTTAGCAAGGGATTATCTTCCTTATATCTCCGGTGTTTAGGGATTCGAAACAATGCCTGTACATCATCAGCAAGATTTTATCCAAAAGCAAACAACCAGAGATTTTGTGTTCTTTAGATCATCATCCTCCCTTCAATCTCTGCCTAGGCAAGAGAATGGGCAACAAGTTGGTATCATAATGCAAAAAGAAATTTAAAATTTGAAAACAAATATGAGTGAAACGAATGAATTTCTTCAAGACAAACATACCCATTGTATTAAGATAATCATTCAGATGCAAACAAGTTCTTATATGCAAACAATGTTTTGATAAACAAGAAAAATTACAAAAAGCAGAAATAAGTTAATGATCGGGGAAGGCTTTCCATCTGGACTTGAATCACCGAAAACATCTTTCAAAACTCAAAGTGACCATCAATCGTGTTTACTCTTTGGCACATGCTTGATTTGAACTTCAAAACCAACGTCCTTGAATGACAAGATACCACTTCTGACCAACTTCTGAACCTCGATCTTCAAAGCAAAGCAACCCTCCAAGTCATGCCCAGGAGCGCCTTGATGAAAGGTACAAATCAAATCAGCTTTGTAGTACCAATGTATCTTCTCAGGAACCTTTGGTGGAGGTCGGGTCTGAACCAAATTCCTCTGCATCAGGATAGGGAACAACTTTGTATAGGTAATTGGATTGAACTGGGTTTTCCTTTGATTAGGAACTTGCTGATTCTGTTGATGAATAGGATAAACATGATGATTCTGACAATGATTATTTCTTCCTCTGGTTCTCTTCTTGGAAAAGTCATTATCAAACTTCTTCACATCATTAGCTGAGCTACCATCTTCATATAAACATCCCTTTCAGACATCTTCCTCTAGACGCACTCCCACATTCACTTTGTCAAGAAAGTCATTAGGTGCATTAACCATCACCTTCTCATGAGAGAATGATTTTAGAGTTTCAGTGAAGACTTTTATCATCGCTTCGTCCCTCCTAGAAGGATTGACTTGGGCGGCAACCAGAATTTCAACCAAACCAGTTAAGCCCTCCATACTAGCTTTCAAATTAGTCATCTCTCTACGGAGTTCAGAAACCTCTTGCTTGATATTCTCCATTGTTCTCTTAGCGTCATTGTTATACTGGTGAGACCAAAGGAAAAATAAGACTCGGAAAAAGACCTTTGACAGTGAAACAAAAAATGTAGAATGATGTATGATATGCAAAAGAGAGTTTTTATTTGATTTTCAAGGAACTCAAGATATTAAGTTGTAAACATCAAAGTATGAAGACAGAAGATGAATTTTAAATTAGCTCCGAACATTGATCAAGTTATCATCAAGATCAATCATCCATTTTGGTGGATTAGGGTTTTCGCCCTATCAACACCCAAGATCCATTGAGCTTGACGAAACTTGTGATGTTTACAAAGAAAGACCTCCAAATTCCTTCAAAGTCAAGTGAAAAGGGTTTTATGGATGCATGAATGCATGGCTATGCAACAACCACAAGCAAGGTCACAAATAAAGTCGAAAGGTTCAACGTCACGAGCATGGAGTCAAGGTAAGGAACACCCCCAAGGTATGTACTAACGGTTTAATCACACCTGTAGAACAAGGTTCTAAGAGTTCCCGGAGTCTACATTCCTCCTTCGGATATTACCAACGTCTTGATTACTCAATAATCAGCAATATTCTCAAGAGAAACTCATCCGAGCGTAGCATCGCGTGACAACTACTTCCGGATTACTCCGTTATAATCTCCGCGCTACACCTAAAAGGCCAAGATGGGTTAGGGTTCTACGGTTCCCAGCTTCTCTGGCTCCCAGGTCGAAAATAATAATGTCTTCCCGATTACTCGGTAAACAAATATTACGTTCAAAAGGGCCTTCCACTGAGTGGGGGATCTCATGCCTCCTTCTTCGGGATTACTCCCTCAAAGTTAACATGACTATACCGCCCGTCCTATTCCTAAGTGTAACTTAGTCCGGGTATAGGACTTGTCCTTTGTAAATATTATCAACACCCAAATAATCATAATATATATACATATAATCAAACAATCAAATAATGATAAAACAGATAAAACAAGTTAGGCTTAACCCACTTAGGGATGGACCAGCAAAAGGTCAATCTATCCCCAGCAGAGTCGCCAATTCTGTAGCGGTGAAAATCGGAGATCAAGCTATTAATTAACTTGACTCACAAAAGCAAGAGTCGCCACCGCGCTTTATTATTTCCAAGGGAAAAGGGAAAAGAGAGAAATAAAACCCTAAAATATGCAATGTATAATAATACTTAAAAGTAATGAAAATACAATGCGTTTTGAAAAGAGACCGAGAGTTCGGGGGTTGGTTATACAATGGGAAGGTATTAGCATCCAATGCATCTGCGGTACTTCGCAGGAACCTTTTGAAATATCTGTTTTTGGTTAAAATTGTTTGTTTGATTAAAATGATTTGTTTGGCTAAAAGATGGGTATGGACGAGATTTTTGAAGATACGACGACCTAGTGTCGAAGTTTTGACTTAAAAGGTTTGAGTTTGAAAATGGGGTCTTTTGGGAAAATTATCTTGAGTTTAGCAAAATAGTAAACAAACAAAAAATGAAAAAAAGGTATTCGCACGATCGGATGAGATGTATTTGATGACGTGAAGTCAACAAATTTAATTCTTTCCCTTGGAGTAAGCAAAATAAAATGAACATCAAAATATAAACATTCAGAAGTTCACAAGAAAATAAATCTGACAAAAACAAATTAATGATCAAGAGGCACCGAGAAATTGAAATGACAGAAATATACAAATAAAAAAGAATATAACTAATTATCTAAAGAAGTTATTCGAACTAAATTAAAAATTACTTACTAAAATAATTCTAAACTAATTACAAATTCTAAGGTTAAAAAATCTAGTATTATTGAATTTGATCTAAACTAAACTAATGCTTTAAAATTTAGTAAGTTAAATCTAGATTAAATTAAAATCCTAAGGTTACTAAATTAAATCTAAAACAAATGAAAATTTCAAAGTTACTAAACTAAATCTAAATCAAATAAAATTCTAAAACTACTAAATTAAATTTAAATCAAATAAAAACTCTAAAGTTATTAAACTAAATAAAAATTATAGACTTATTAAACTAATTCTAAATCAAATGAAAATTATAAATTTATTAAACTAATTCTAAATAAATAAAATTCTAAAGTTAACTAAATAAAATCAAATAAAATTCCAAAGTCACTAAACTAAAACTAAACAAATAAAATTCTAAAGTTAATTTAAATAAAATCAAATAAAATTCTAAAGTTATTAAACTAAACTAAAACAAATAAAATTCTAAAATTTACTAAATGAAATAAATTCTAAAGTTATAAAATAAAACTAAAACAAAACAAAATTCTAAAGTTATTAATTATGATTCTAAATATTTTAAAGTTATAAAATAAATCTAAACTAATTAAAAAAATTCTAAATTAATACTAAATTAAATCTAAATATAAGATTTACTAATATTTTTTTATATTTTTTTTTATATTTTTACGCATAAACTAACATCTCATACCAGTAAACAATCTCAAAAGACATGAAATGGTGCATACCATATAATACAGCAACAAAGACACTATGCTTCTAATAACTAAATGTTCAGCACCTAATCATATACATGTGCTTCATATCTTAATAAACCACCATCTTAAAACTAACACATCATATAATAAAAGTAGCAAAAGTAATAGTTGAAAGTTAAAGCCGAATCAAAACCTCAAATATGTTCTTTGGTGATGCAGTGAAGGTGAAGTGGATATGTGTGGATGACGGTAATTCGTCGCATACTAGGATACACTGTCAAGCATAACTTTTAGACATTTCAACAGCATATTGTTTCAAATAAAAAGGAATAAAACCATTTAATCAGGATTTTAACATAATGACAGAAATGAAACAGTACTGATATCAAAACCAAAGAAATCCAAATTCAATCAATATAGCACCAATGACTCAAATAACAATATCTTTCATCTTAACATAAATAACATCAATGCTAACTAGAGTAAAGAGGAGAGAGTAATACCGAAGCTTGCTGAAGTCGAAAGCAATTCGCGGCTGGTTGTTGGAAACAACGCGGTTGTAGAGACAGGAAACTAAAGCTCGCGGATAACCGAAGCTTGATTTGCGATGCTGTTGACAGTGGATGTGGAAAAGTGAGTAGACTGATTGCGGTTGACTGTGAGAACATAAGGTGCTGCTCCAGTAGCATCAGTTGCCTTTGATTCTCCTATCGCCGAGACACGTATCATATCCTTCCCATGTCTAGCAATGCATCCATTAGATCCCAATGTTACCACAGCCCATTCGCAGTATTTGGCAAGAAATTCTACGGCGGCTATTGGATCAGCATTCTGTTCGCCCCTTAAAAGTTTTGTTGCCTCATCCTCATTGGCAAATCAGAGATCTATGTTTCCAGATTTCCAGCAACTTCAGAAGTGGTAATTTAAAGTTCCTAACCATCTCAAAACTGGCCAAGTCCAAGGAAACAAGAAGACCTTCCTGTTTGGCCAAATCAATGGCCGCTTGAATAACTTCCAAATTGAGTACTGCATATCTCAACACCAACCACTTGGAGCCTTTGAAATCCTCTTTCGTCAACTCTTGAGCCTGTACTTTGACAGCATTTGAGAGACAAGGCCGCATTGTTCGATTAGCCAATTCATCTACCAAGCAAACACACTGTGCAGTGTGTCCTTTCTTCTTCTGGAGTCTAGAAAGATCAACACCATGAGACGACATATTATTAACAAACAATTGCCCTTGTTCATCATCTCCACAAGCTCCAATAATTCCACTACAAATTCCAAAACCACTACTAAGACCGCGAATGGTATTAGCAACACTACCACCAGCCATAGTTTTCATCCTAGAAGAACTCGAATCATCATTAGCCTCATCACGAAGACTAGTTTCAACTTCCTTGAGTATATCTTCAAGCTCTTCAATCGCAACGGGAATGGAGGTTGGAGTTATGTTATGAGGTGAGTTATGTTGAGAGATAGAAAAATCTTGCCCATTTGAAAAAGGAAAGGACTTTGGAGAGATGAATGTGTTAGAGAGAGATAGGACTTGTTGGGTCAATGTAAGGTGTTGCGTTGAGAGAGATTTTTTGTGAAAAGTTTGGTTTGAAAATGTTTACATGTTTGTTGATTTGTGAAGAGAAAAAAAGAGGATTGGTGAGAATGTGTGTGTTGTTATTTTGGTTTTTGTGTGTGAAGGAGGCTTGTGCTGATGCTGGTTGGTTTGGGGAAAAGTGAGGATGAGGAATAGAGGGATGAAAAACATATACTGTGTATTGCTTTTTTTTGGTTTTGTTTTTATGTATTGATCCTCAATTCTTGCTTACAACCAATGAGAGCAAAGCAAAGTGGAACAAACATTTTTTTATGACAGAAAAGCCCCTCTAAAAATAAAAAGAAGTAAAAATCTGAAAGTATAAAAAAAACTCAATTTAAAATGATTTTTTTTGAATGTTTTATGAATAAAAAATAAAGACACAAAATGACCGAAAATGATAAAAACCGGACGAAAATTTATCCGAAAAAATAAAATGAACACATTAAAATAATCTACATGTCACAAAGATTAAAGAAAAAATACTCAAGAAGTCAAAAATCAAAAATAAAATAATAATAAAATATCAGACTAAACAGACGTTTAAGGTTAAAACGAGACTTCGAACTGTACCGAAAAATAAAGCGAGCATACCGTCATAATCTATGCGAAGCGCAGATTCGTAAAATGATTGGTAAAAGGTGAGAACTTGAAATATTTTCTTGCTACTTTCCCGCATAGTGTCGAATCGCTTTTAACAGTCTGTCTATAAAACCAAAATATTTTTATTATCGACATATAAACAACTTGGAGCAATGCAACAAATGAGTAAATAGATAAAAATGCATGAAGCAAAATGCCGGGTATTTTACAACTGAAAGACGATGCAAACTTTGATTTAAACTGACTTTTTCTGGTCAACTTAAATACGACTAATGATGCAAAATATGATGAATGAAGATATTTACTAATGATTGTGACCAAATGACAAAATATGGTATGAATGTGCGACTGAAAAAATTAGGGGCGAAATTAAGGGTGCAACGGTGTGCCTTGATGAATCAGTCTTCGAGAATCCACAATCAACCGTACTTCTGGCTTGGGAGACTCAAAACCTTAATTGAGGCGCGACACCTAATGCTCTTGATTCAGACCTATCTCTGCACATGAAACAAAAGAAAACATGAACATACACCTTTGTATGCGATTAGAAATTAGTGATACACAGGCTAAAAATATTCAAAACACTTGACAATCTTCGCATAGTCAATGCTTGAAGGTGAGAGGTTAAAACCGACTGTATTTCGTGACCTTGACTTATCTTTAAAAATGCAAAAAATAAAAATGGGATCTTAGGTCAAAAATTGGGGTACAAAACAACCATACACTGCTGATAAGAACCTCTGGATCCATTTCTTTCAAGATAGTCTCTCAGGGACTCAACTTGAATGGTTCTACCAACTAGAGGGAGCTAGCGTGCATAATTGGGAACACCTTGTTGCTGCTTTTTACAAGCAGTCCCAATATAATGCCGACCTCGCTCCCACGTGTACCCAACTTCAGGGTATGTCTATGGGTGCGAGCGAAGGTTTCAAAGATTACTCTCAGAAGTGGAGGGACCTTGCTGGGAGAGTACAACCCCCTCTGGCTGATAGGGAGCTAGTGGATATGTTTCTGGGGACTTTGTCTGGTCCGTATTTTAATCATCTGATTGGGAGTTTATCATCTGGTTTCACGGAGTTAATAATGACTGGGGAAAGAGTTGAAGCCGATATCAAGAGCGGAAAAATACAGAAGGGTGCTTCATCAAGTGCCGAGAAGAAGCCTTTTAAGAAGGAGTCTAGTGAAGTTTACAGTCCAAAATCCAGAGTCGACCTGAACGCCGCCAAGCGGTTAATGCGGTAGTTATTTCAAGACCAACTATTTCCACACAACGCAACACTCAGCCAAGGGCAGATTGGCCGCAAAGACAGTTTACTCGGCTCAACATGCTTTAGCTCAAATTCTTCCGCAGTTGCTAAAAACCAACTTGGTGATTCCGAGGGAGGCCCAAAAGAATCCTAACACCAAGTCACTGCTGTACAATCCAAACGCCCGCTGTGCTTATCACTCTGATAGCCCAGGGCATGATAACAATAATTATTGGGCCTTGAAGAATAAGGTACAAGATCTGATTGACACTAAGGAGATTGAGTTCGAAGCGCCAGAAAAGCCTAATGTTGTGACTGCTCATATGCCAAATCATGGGGTGAATGTTATGGATGATGATGTATTTGTGTCCTCTGTAGAAGACATTGCTACTCCATTGATGATTGTGAAGAAGAACCTTATGTTAGCCGGTTTATTTCCGGGATGTGGCGAAGGTTTCCATCTGTGTTCCATCCTACCTATCGGTTGCCATCTTTTGAAGTCAGGTGGCCAACGCCTGATGGATAATAAAGAAATCTTATTCGAGAAAACTGTTGTTCATTTGGTTCCTATTGAAGAAGTTTCTATAATCACCATTTTCTCCAATTCTTCCAAGGCTTCCTCGAGAAATCCTGTTAGAATTACATCTGTTACGAGAATTTCTCCTTTGATTATTACTGTTCCTGAACATATCCTTTATACGTCAGATAAGGCTGTCCCATGGCACTACGGGCCTGATATGTATTATCACGGGGTTAAACAAGATTTGAAGGACGAAGAGGCTGATACTGATGTCAGCAACATTGTTGGATCTAATAAAGTCACCCGCAGCGGAAGACTTTTCTCCCCTGAGATCTCTCCACCAACTGTTCGGAAGCCTGTTGTTATTACACCTGCCAGTACATCTGCTATTGTCCCTGTTCAAATTCCCATCCTTACCCCTGTCGCCGAGTCATCTGACACTCGGGGAAAAGGGATCACCAGTGAGCCTGCCCAGACGGAGGCACCAAAGAAGATTACTAATGAAGCCTCTAGACAGGAGATAGAGGAAATTTTGAAGATCATCAAAAAGAGCGACTACAATGTAGTCGAACAGTTGGGGCAAACCCCGTCGAAGATCTCTATGTTGTCCTTATTGTTGTGTTCAGAGGCCCATGCTAAGGCTCTGATTGCTTTCCTGAAAACTGCACACGTGCCCTAGGAAACATCTGCTGATCAGTTCAAAGATTGTGTGGCTAGTTTGACAGTAGATAATGGGTTGGGTTTCTCCGACGCAGACTTGACTGCTAAGGGGAAGAATCACAATGACGCTCTGCATGTCTCCATTGAGTGCAAGGGCACTACCTTAGCTCATGTGTTGGTGGATACTGGGTCCTCGTTGAATGTTTTACCCAAGAAAGCGTTAGACTGGTTAGACTGTGAAGGGTTGGTGCTGAAGCCGAGTAACATTGTTGTTAGGGCCTTTGACGGGTCCAAGAGAATGGTACATAGAGAAGTGGATATTCTAGTTAAGGTTGGTTCTCAGATTTTCGCGTCTACATTATATGTGATAAACATTTGGCCATCTTATTCTTGTCTGTTGGGTCTCCCGTGGATCCACAAAGCTGGGACAGTAACTTCTACGCTCCACCAGATGCTGAAATACCCAGTGAAAGGGAAAATTGTTACGGTACGAGGAGAAGAAGAGTAAATGGTGAGCCACCTCAACTCTATCTGGTATGTGGAGATGGACGGAGAGTTCATTAAAACCCCGTGTCAACATTTTGAAGAAGTCCCCCAAACGCTGGCATCAACTGAAACTGTTGCTGAAGATCCTACAATGAAGATGGCTTCCCTCAAGGATGCCCGGGCTATGGTTGAGAAAGATGGGTGTGCGAATTGGGGCCAACTCCCTGACTTTGCACATAAGACTAACAAGTTTGGTTTGGGTTTCACTGCAGAAGCTCAAAGGGTTGTTCGGCATGCGCGGATCGAAGGACCTCCCCTGTTTATCAGCAATTCGGGAGTGAATGCCATTGAAGACGATGCTGAAGAATTTGAGTTTGACAGTTGGATCTACCCGACTACCGACGGTGGACTAAGAAATTGGACGGCAAAGGACTTCGTGCCAATGTCTTTTATTACCCAGTAATGAGACTTTTGTTTTGAATTTGTAACAGACAATTTTAAACTTTACGGCCCGGTGTCTTACCCGAGGCACCGTGGCTTTGTTTGTGAGGGCTTTATATTTGTCATCTCCATATATCATTAATAAAAGCATTGATCGTTTTTTTTTTGCATTACGAATTTTGTGCTCTTTATTTTTCTTTTTTTCTATCTTGCAAAACAACTATTTTACACACACTCACATATACAGGTCTACATCCACTCTGGATCCCACTGATAACGACTCTGTTACTGTTGGTTATGACTTCGAAAGTTTGATCAACCAAGCCGAGGACGAAGGTGAAGATGATTGCGAAGTGCCTGGTGAACTTGCTAGATTGTTACTTCAGGAAGATAGGGTTATTCAGCCGCATGAAGAGCCAGTGGAAACAGTGAATCTAGGTACACAGGTAGACAAGAAAGAGGTTAAGATCGATGCAAATATGGAGTCTAGTGTTAAGCAACGGTTGATTCAGGTGCTGTATGACTATGTTGAGATCTTTGTCTGGTCTTATGATGATATGCCTGGGTTGGATACCGATATCGTGGTTCACCGATTGCCTACCAAGGAAGACTGTCCTCCAGTGAAACAGAAAGTTCACCGAATGCGCCTAGAGATGTCTGAGAAAATTAAGGCTGATGTTATGAAACAGTTTGATGCCGGTTTTCTAGCAGTTACTTCTTACCCGCAATGGGTTTCCAACGTGGTTCCAGTACCGAAGAAGGATGGTAAGGTTCGGATGTGCGTT